AAAATCGACCATCTACAAAATGTTCATGTTCCTCAATGCAGAACCATAACCCATTCGCACGCTTTCATTCCAAGAACTACATCTCAATGGAATCGACTCCCACGATCAGCTACAGCAATCACCCACACATCACATTTTAAGGTTTTTTTACAAAACATGTTTGGCACTCCTTGATTTCTGCTTCGTGTTATATATACATAATGTCACGCACGGCCAGTGTTACACTAACAAAATCTCAGCTCAACCTTTCTGAACTCGCCATTCGGCTTAATCTCTTTCATAAGCTTTATTATCATAACAATAGCCTTTGCGTTAACATTTTGTTAAACTACCTCATTCATATCACCCAAAATCGACCATCTACAAAATGTTCATGTTCCTCAATGCAGAACCATAACCCATTCGCAAGCTTTCATTCCAAGAACTACATCTCAATGGAATCGACTCCCACGATCAGCTACCGCAATCACCCACACATCACATTTTAAGGTTTTTTTACAAAACATGTTTGGCACTCCTTGATTTCTGCTTCGTGTTATATATATATATAATGTCTCGTTTTTTATTTTTATTTTAGGTTGTTTGGTGTTATTCGCTTGGTTCTTGAACATTATCACCTGCATCATCGCTACTGCTAAGCTGTTTTTGTTGACGTAGTTGATACACAATGTATTTCTGTATTATTCTGCCGATTATTGAAGTTTTCTTTTTGTATATATTGTCGCAACATGCAAAGAACAGGACACAAGGCTTCCTTTTGACGTTAACAGGAAGGCTCTATTCACATACAAAAACAAAGCGCAAGAGCAGACGCGCAACGTCGTCTTCCTCGAAAAACCCAGAGACTGCCGCTCTTGATGCTGGCTTCTTCGTCCTTTTGTGTTCACGGCTAATAACCGTGACAATATTTATCAAGTCTTGTTTCCAATTTTTGACATGTAACATGCCCCTCCCCTCTGTAATGTGAAAACCCTGATGGTAAAATAAATAAATAAATAAATAAACAGGCCGCACCTCTTTTTTTTTTTTTCAACTTAGTTGTCTGTGTCAATTGCGAATTTGGGGAATGCACCTGCTTTATTGTGATCTTCAGAGTACACAAAAAAGGGCAGCGACAAAGTTCTCTGAAGTCCAGTATGTGAAGCTTAGGTCGCACGTAGAAGGGAAGTGGGCCAGCCGCTGTCACTTGGGGGGAGGGGGGGGGGTTCTTGTTGAATTTTCGATTTTGTTTTTCCACAGTCTCAATGCAAAAAATCGAAGTTTGCATCCAGCTATTGCTTGGCTTTTACTCATTGTTTTTGCTTTGTTATTATGTTAATGTAAGTACATCTACTTCTTTTTTCAAAGCTTCTTAATATGTTCAAGAGTTATTTCTCATGTGTGCATGAATTTCAATTTATTTTCTGCTGATCCTCATTTTTTGCCCATAATTTGTTATTTAGTGTTTATTTCATTGAGGTGTACCCATCTTTCTTTTTTTTTTTGTTCGCTCTTCACTCACACTTTGCATAAAAAAACTTGTCGTTGCGCCTTTCTATCTGGTTGTATTTTACTTTTTTATGTAACAGCTATGAATGTATATGGCTATTGATGTTTTTACATTCAAATGAAACTGTGCAGAAAGAAATGTTAATAAACTTGGACTGAAGCCCTGAATCTCCTACATCTTCCTTCCGTGTGCGATATATATCCCGCTTGTATGTGCTGTTCAGATGAAAATAACCTAACAGCATACTCTGAAGATCGTTTTTTTTTTTCCCTTCATTTACAATTTATCGGCGCCCTGTGTTGTCTGTCAAGCACAGCAACTTTGTACTATTATCACAAAGCTTGTTCTATATAAAAAACAGCAGAGAGCATGGACTCGGACGCGTAAATGCCGCGCGCCAACGAGTGGTCGCGCCCTTTGGAGGCTTCATCGTAAAATTTTTCAGCTTTGCCGTGACTCCTCGTTCACGACACTAGGAAAACCTTCCTAGCCACTATAATCTCTCCAACCCGTACAAAGAAGTCGTCCTACTGATTTGTTCCAGCGTGCCGGGGAGAGAGCTGTCCCGTACTATCAGCGCCCCCACAGAAGAAAGCGGCAGCAACTGTCAACTTTCTTTTTGCAGGCCGCACCCCATGCGGTGCGTAGTCATTGAGCAGCTGTGGTATGGGCTAGCTCGGCAGCCATGAGAGGGCACCGCACATACACTTCTACGTGCTGTGCTCTCATAGCGAAGAGACTGTGCAAAAACTTGCTCAACCTGGTGTCACCGTGCTCTATTAAACCAGCGTTTGTACAGTTACTTCAGATCAGACCCTGAATTCGTTGCTATTGCACTCGTTGCTATTGCACTCGTTGCTTTGCTCTTGCGATTAAGCTGTGACTTTTTCAGCTATGTAGAGCTGCCCATTTGTTAAACCTGAACGCACGAGTATCAACCGCTGAGTCGATTAGTGTCACATAACGAAGCACAGCAGCGAAATGAACGAGAATAGGCGCGCATGCTGGATAAGCACTCTTGTTAGTACATCTTGTGCACCTGTCTTAGCTTGTTCCGGGAACTGGACACCACCCCTGCTTCTTTAGAGAATCCTTTTCTTTCTTTTCTGAATGATGCCATCGAATTCTAGAAGAATTCACAATTCCATCGCAACAGCGAAGCAATGAATGCGATAGCAATAAGTTGTAATGTTATACGAAGTAAGGCTTGCAGCTAACTTTTTTTTAATCTGCTACCCCATAACTCTACAATATGCTGATGTAAGAGAATACTGTCGTGACAGGGAGAGATGCTCTGTCGGCAGTCCCTTCGCATTAATAATGCAGTTCGTGGCAGGGTCCATTTGCGATGATGCCTGCCGAGTTAGTGCATGCGCCAGTGATAGCGACAATGCTCCCAGAATCAAAGTTCACAACTGCTGCTCGAGCAATCACAACATCGACGAAACCGAAACTATAACAGCTTCGAAGGAACAGTAAACACGATGTTTCAGCCACGCTTTCGGACACGTGGCTTGTTTCAGCCACGCTTTCGGACACGTGGCTTGATGGCTGTCGCACCTGGCGGTTAACTTTGGATCGTGCGGCCTAGTACAGCGCTGATAAACAAATTTTGTGCGACAAGGGCGGTTCAGCACAGGATGGGGAGCTAAATCAGTTTGGCACACAATGGCGCAAATGGCGCAGCTGTTCCACCACTGAACTGTTTCACTGTGTCACCATCAAGGAGGATGATCATAATAAAATATCAAGTTCAAAGAAGAGAAGAAACTACAACTGGTATTTGTTCTGGAGCCTTAATCAGCAAAAATTTGTGCTCCACTTAATTGCACCACAACAATACAATTATTGTTAATGCCACAATCTAAAGCAAGCAACAATGTGACAAAATACAAGTAAAAGATAGTGTAGACATAGGTAACGTTGAGGAAGAGCAGAGAAGCGGAACGCATCTCACGCAAACATTCCTGGCAAGTGAATAAATTCCTGACCCAGATCATTTCTATGTGAACATATATATATATATATATCCCCACCACAGTTGGTGCAGCGAAGAAATGCTGTTCACAGTGATGAGTAGCTGCTGATACCACATGAATATTCCAAATTGAAATAACAACCAACTCAACCGTAACTCATGTTGAAGTCTAATGGTATAGTCGGAGCAGTCGACAGACTTCGTGAGCAAGCACTCAACTCTGGTGCAGAGCAATGCCTCCAGAGCCGCGATTAGAACACATGTGCCACTGAAGCAAGGTGGAAGCGAAAGGTTTATCTTTGGAGTGAGTAGTTTTCCAGAGTACTTTGCATACAGTTATTCCATTTTGCAGTCATATTCTGTTGAGACCCCGCTCATGTGCCACAGCTTCAGCATCGCTGTCACAACCGGTGAATCGCTTGTGCGGAAACATTTCTGACCCAGAAATATTGTTATCAGGCAGCGAAAGCAATGCTGCACAATTTGCCAACTCTTCCAAGTCGTCTGCCGTTACTACCAAAACAAGTGACTACCGATGGTGCCCCCAAGCAGACAAATGTGTTACAGAAACTATGTCACGCGAAGTTCCTCGATTTTGGTGGCGCAGCTTTTCCTGCTCCACGGAGGGACTCCTGCACTGCATCCCTCACAGGATTGCTTGAATCCTACCCTCACTCTGCCATTAGAATACCCTTGCTCCAAAAGAAGTAGAAAAGCTTTCTATGACTGCACCATTGAAATTCAAGATTAATTTGTGCTAAATTCATGAATTGTACTATAATGAAAATTATCAAGCATTCATTACCAGCTGCATAAGCAACATAACAGCCTACAAGGTTCAAGCCTGTTGCAAAGCCTTTTAATGTGCCTTCTCATGCTCTGCCTTAGAAAGGAACAGTTCCAGTATTCCTTTCTGCAAAAGAAAAAGCTTTATGGGGCACAGCTGTAGTGTAGAGACTGAGCGAAGGCTTGTAAGCTAGAAGATCAGTCAACTAAATTTTCACGACGACTCAATCTTGCTTAATAGAAACATTTTTTCCTAGTGGAGCTGGCAACATTTCTGAATCATTTATGCAAAATAAAGATTTGTTTACTTATTATTTGGGGAGCCTACAGGTATGCTCTGTTTGACCAAATCAGTTGGTAGGCTATGACGGATGTCTTAGTGGAAAGATGTGGATTCATTTTGCAATTATAAGAGTACAACTACACACACATATTTACATTCACAACCCATATCCCATTCCACTAGAAATTAGAATGCCACAGCTGTAATCAAATCATTAACTTCTGCTCTCAGCAGCAGAAGGTCATAGCTACTAAGTTAGCATAATACCTTTTTAGCTCTAAACTGTTGCACAACAATATAAATACAAATGAGACTAGTTTTGAAATTCATGTCACATACTGACAAATGTTACAGCTTTAAATATACACCAAAAGCGCAGCTTCACTTTCAAAAGTGCTTGCTTACTGCAGCATTGTGCTCCCACGATTAAAGCATTTTTTTTTACGTTTGACACATTTGCCCACCTGTCTTTGTTCCGGGCAGAAGAATGTCCCAGCCTCGCAATTTCACGTTCTGCTCTTTTTATAGCTTCTGTCACTTGCAGTGCCTGAAAGCAATTGAAAAAATATTCACACAAAACACAAGTTCACACAATGGGAGAAAAATGAAGACTAAAAAAGAAAACGTCAAGCCCGATTAGGACAAACTGCATGAAGTTTCAGCACTGGTTAGTTATATAGAGAAGTAAATGCCAATTAGTACAGCCATGCTGTCTCTGATGATTGGTGACCAGCAGGAGCCACAGGGACACAAAAGCTGAACACATTCTTGCTGTAAGTAATGGGATTGTTTTTTTTTTTTTTGCATGCAGCAAAACCATACTATCTGCGGCTTTAGCCACACACACTTAACTGGAATTCAAGGTGTGGAAAATAAAATATTGCTTTGCGTATTTGCCAAGCTGATACTTCAAAAGCTGTATGAGAGTGCTGAAATCAGACTTGAAACAGTCTGTGTTTAAAGCTGCTGCCGAGTCCAATGTAGAAAATTGAAAGATCCTGCTCAACACAGCACTACCCAATGTGTCCAAGCAGGGAAAAATACACTGATATAGACTTGGCCATCTACATGAAGTACCCTCTCTACTTTTTTGCTTGCCACTAGAAGTTACAAGCCAATCCAGCTTCTATGAGACCCACGTACTGTAAACAAAAGCCAAGGGAGCTTACCTCAATACCTAGGCCCCTCATTGAAACTGATTTCAGATCCAGACTGCTATGTTTTTCCTTCTGGGTGTTATGCCGCTCATGAGCATTGTTAGAATCTACATGTAGGAAAAGACATCAATGAATTGCAGAAGCAATTAGTAATGTATTTTGTAGAGTATAAGTAAACGACTATTTTTCCAAGGAATTGTCTGATCTTACAGTCATACCCAGTTATATAGAATTATTCCTGCATCAAACAGTTGCAACATCCACTTAAAAATTTCATGAAAAAGCATTGCACTGTATAATGAGTGTATTAAACACCCATATACTTTGCTATGCCACATGGCACCCCTGCCTCAGCACTTCTCCTAACCGATGTGTGATTGCTTCTTGTGCCCGAATAATTACTTCTGCTGACAATATGATAGCATTTTTTTTTTAAGGGCAGTGCTTTAAGGAACAAATAAGCGAGATGCGTATTTTCAATTTCATTCATGCTCTAAAATGAGGTGCACCACAACACAGCCATGTAATTCAGCGACACACATTAGGTAATCGTGGAGAGGACTAGGAACTTTTTCACTATTACCTTGGAACAATACCCCCTGTGGTCATTATGGTGAGGGCTGCTGTGTAGCTTCAAGAACAAAAAAGGCCACACAGTCTGATACACATGCTCCCTCAAAGGACACTGCAACACTTTTTGACCATGGTCAGAAAAGGTGGCCGATCAGTAGTCGAGGCTCCCAAGAACACGTGAGCCAAATATTATAGCGCTGTAGACAGCCTAGAAATGAATTCTCAATGTGAGCTAAAAATGGCTTTCTTTTCTCTTGAAAAGTGATGCTACATACTAAAAAACCATTGCATCACAGGCCAAAGTGTCACGCCATTGGTTTATTTGAATGGCGCGCTTGGGAGGGCCACAGCGGGAGACTGCAAAACATCTGTGTTCATGTGTGCGATTCCTCTGAAAAGGTGCGCGTTCGAAGGAAAAAAAAAAGTGCTCAAGATCATGAGGCACGTGTGACGTACCTTCTTCTCCTGTGCCAACCCTCCCTACTTAGCTTCCAGCGCTTTCATCGGCATGAGAGAAGAAATAAAGCAATTACAGCGTGTGGCAAATCTTTGTAACTTTGCTCGTACAGGGCAGATTCTAAAATTTAGATTTGTGAGGCAAAAAAAATCGATTTGTAAGCCAAAAAGCTCCTTCAGTAAAACCTTTCCATGGCTACTTGAAAAAGTGTCCCAGGGCCCCTTCAACACCATGAGGTTGAATAAGTATCCTGCAAACTTTTGTGTTTCCCATGCAGCTTTGGATAAACAGATAGGAAAATTCTCAGCTTTCATGACCTCAAGAGACTGGCAAAGACACATGGCATTTCCTTACGATTGACATGGGGTTAGATAGGTGTATTTTACATTTCAAATTATCAGTATATCAAACTATTTCACAATCGCTTTCAAGGTTGATATATTCACGTTTGCCTGAACATTCATAAAGTTATAAGTATTAGCGCGACCAATATGAACATTATATTCAACATGAGTACAACAAACCATGCACGAGAGCATTTTCAAAGAAATCTTATCTTATCCTAACAGTGAAATGACCGCGGCAACAGGTCTCAGCCCATAAGACTTTTCATTTTTGCAGTCTGGTGCTGTAATAATAAGGTTGTGTATAAAGCCAGCAGTGTGCAGCCACAGAATTTACCATGTGAAAAATGGGCAGGGTGGATAATTGGCCATTCAGTATAAATCCTTTGGTTGCGCAGCCTCGTCAACGCATGTACTATCTGCGTCAAATGAAACCCGAACAGCGGCAAGCTTTCGTAGTAGTATAGTGTGCACCGTCAATTAATCACCATTGACAAGCGCACACATCCTGTTCAGTAGCTCTGCGCATATATGCGTGCCTGCCAATGGCAATAAGTGGACAGCGCGCAATATACCATCGCAAAGGCTTGCCGCTGTTCGGGCTTCATTTGATGGCAATAGTAGAGTTATTAAGAGCATAATGACAGGCTTACATAAGAGATTGTTGAGGCTGAGGCTATTTCATTCCTAGGTTCTGTGTATCCCATCATGTACCCTAAGTGATTAAAAACTCTCCTTTCTTAGAAATTAATATATGTGCACCTGCTATGTCATGCGATACTTTCCCTCCAGTGACATAAGCAAGCAGTAGTGCAAACAAACATTTTTTTGGAAGTAATCATCAGTGTTGTCTGTCCTTTTCTCATGTCCCTTTTAATCCAGCCCTATTTTTTTATAAACAGTACAGTAAAGCTTGTTAATTCAACCCTTGTTAACTAAGAAAATCAAATAATTTAGAAGTGTCTTCTAATCCCAGCAGCACAAGCACCGCTTCTGTTAGTACGGACACATTGGGCCACAACCCAGTTAATTCGGACGATGTACAGAGCATGCTGAGTGCGAGGCACCTCCTATGTGCAAATCAAAAGAGCGAAAAAAGTGGCTGCATGCAATTTTGGGTTGCAAATTTATCTCCACAGTGAAGGTCTACCACAAATCAACATGAAAATGTCAACCTTGCAGGAGCTGTGCTACTACTACAAGAACTTCCCGTTTGATCAATATCTATGTAGCCTTGTTAACAAAAGCATATAAATAATGCCGAGACTCTGGCGATACACATATAAGAAGTAAGAAAAAAAACTCCAATAGGTACCCATATGCAGGCTCCAAAAAGCCTCCCCCCCTCCCCCCAAAAAAAGTTCTGCATACAGCCCAGCTATACCGGTGCACATTTTGTCTTTTACATTCACATTGCTGAGAGGAACATAACCAAATACTAAAGGAGCCTCATTTTAATTAATCTTGTTTGACCACTAAGAATGCTCTTTGCTAGACCACTTAGAAATAGCAATGCAAGAGGAACACAACTGGAGGTATAACTCAATCATCCACTTATTGTTCGAGATTTAGCACCGGGCTTCCTTTAAGAGTTTTGCAGCAAAGCCTACTGTACAGGACAAAAAAGAAGTTATCGCACCACAGCTATTATCATGAATGAAAAGTGAGTGAGCCTTTAGACTAGACATAAGATAAAATACTTTGCGGTGAGCTTGCACAAATACTATAATAAAGCCTTTCAGGGGTCTCTATCAAAAATATGCTACCCATAATGAAACATTTGGTGGATTAGCCCAAGTAAAAGTACTTACGCTTTTTTGAAAATATCTGACGATTTAAAAAGTCAAATACTGATCCAGATTCTGCTGCCTTGTGGTACCGCCTTTCAATCTTCTCTTCCTCCCTCTTCATTTTAAGCAGCACCTTTCTTTGTGCTTTGGCAGGATCCTGTATCATGCCCAGTTCCTTTAGTTCCATGCATTTGTCAAGTGATTTCCCTGGAGCACAACATAACAATTACTTCAGAGCAGCTATGACATCTTTTTCCTTAATATGCAATTGACGACTGCAAAACTAATTCAGAATTCATCTCTTCCAACACATACTGTGCACTTAATGAAACATCAAAATAGTAATGTCCGCAGTTCTCAACTTAACAGTGCCAAACTACAAGCCTTATAGCGTGCCCTAAAATGTTACAGCAGCTGTGCCAGCTATGTTTATGCATTATTTTACCAAATCAAAAAAAAAAAGCTACGGGTATAGAGCGTACGTACGATAAATTATGATTAGTTAAACTTGTGATTCACAGCCTTAAACAACAACCCACACTACAGATATCAATTCTCAATCACTAGGATTTCAGAATAACCACCATGGTCACATGTCTCAAAGTATGGACAATAAACTGAGCACTTTGTACTACAGTCATGAAAATTTTCACAAGACAAAGAGGTGTGTCATCCTTAATAAAACCAGGTAACCCCATAAATCATGAATATCTTTTTTTTTCCTAGTGAAAAATTTGTATGAAGTTTTGTTGCCACCATAAATACCCAAATTTCAATTTTAATAAAAAAAATACAGTCTTGCGATTTTATGAGTGGAAAGTCTTAACTTATTATATATGATACATCCGCACTTGCAGATATACTTCGTAGCCATCAGCCATACAGAACTACATGATGAATTGAATAAAAATAAGAAAAAATATGTCACAATAATTAAAACTTAAAACCTTGATGATTTAATGCAGTGCATTTTTTACAGCTCAATATCTCACAGTGGTTTTTTGTAGGGTTGATAATGTCATGCCCAAATGAAAAAAAAAATATCAAAAATCATTATGCGATATGAATGCCTGATTGCATTTGATTTTACAAAAATGTTCGTACTGTAAAGGCTTCAAGAAAAATACCTTTAACAAGCACAATGACTATCTTTTTTCAGGAGTGAGATGACATAGACCGAATTGGGAGTAGTTTTTGGAGCAGCAAAATTTCAATTTTGGAGCAGAAAAATCTTGCTTGGGAGCGGTTGGCAGCATTTAATATGTTATTCTGTGAGCTTGAAAATACAAACTTTTAGCAAAGTGGGGGTACCAGTGCATATTTTAATTGGTTTATAATGCACATAACACTGAAACAGATTTTGAAGGAAGCTTTTAAACAGATTATCGCCGGGTATGAACTGTACTATTTTTTTTACATACCACATGACCTACCTGACCGTCGTAACAAACATGTGAAATAATATTTAATTAAAAAAAGGGTTTGTTGAAAACTAGGTTCCCCGGGCACATTTAAAAAGAAAAACGCATCACACTCAAAAAAGGAATCCAGAAATTGTGATTGCACAAGAATCTTAGTTATCTAACAGTGGTCCTTCGCTTAAAGAAAAGCCTGACATTATAGCATCAAGAGCTTTTAACAGACAACAAAAGCGCACTTCAGTGCCGTACACGGCCACCTCGTGCAGGACCACCTTCAAGATTGCAGCGCAGGAGCCAAGAAACCTCGCTGCACTGACTATATCGTAAAGCGCGTGCATATGGCACTAAGTGATAAGCAAATGATACTAATAACGGCTCTCCATGCGAGCAACCATGAGTTATTAATACGGCACGCGTTGACCAGTGCTATTTTGTTTTGTTTTTTTAAATCATAGGTCATCACAATCAATGTAGAAATCCTGATAATACACGAACTTGAGATCGCCACTCCGAGACTCGCGTAAAGCGCTTGCGCAGTGCAGGTAAGAAATTCGTGTGCACGCAAACGAATCGCCGATCGAACAGAGGCTGGTTTTATTGCATAAGAAGAAAAGAAAGAAAACGTCACACTGCCACCGACCAAAACACCAATCAAGCTAAGCCTAGAAGCAGCACACGTTGAGAGTTTGGATTACAAAACAGAGCAGTGGCAAATCATCATTCATGAAAACTGTGGCATGTGATCGCCGACGTGTCATGAGTCACAAATAACGCACCGAGGTGCCCGTTCATATAGTTTTTGACGGTTTAAACTGGTTTGAACACCCGTTCTGTCACCATAGCTTTGCAAATAACCAATTGTTTTTCTCTTCCTGCTGACACTGATGTGCAGATTTTGCAAGCGATGGCTTTTTAAATGCAAAATGCAATGAGAACTCACTCGTCTAAATAAGTTAGTAGCTAATGGGCGTGAACCAAAAATGGGCTGCACACGTTCTGTCACTCATGGAACCCATTTTGAGAGCCCATGTGCACGCGCCAAAGCATCAAGGGTACGCGTTGCATGCAAGAAAATGACTCCACGTTACTCGCTCATGGCAAATGCAAACACATAGGTGACCACACGCAGTAGCATCGACATGAAAAACCGTAGCGACCGGAGGAACATGCTACGCACAACAAAGAACCTGAGAGTCAATGCCGCTACATTCGTCACTCGAATATTTCACAAGTTGACAGTGGCACAAGAACACGCAGCCTAGCTAGAAGCAGCAGCACGCTCAATGCACGGCAGCACATTTTTGTGCGGTGGAGTATATTTACAACAGTTTAGAGGAGATTATGGCGGCACCACGGGCGCCTTCGTCACCAGAAATGTGCGAAGTTAAAAAACAAAAACGCGGTTGGGTACGTCTTATTAGTCAACTCGGCCTTTTTTTCTACTGAAACTAAGGTTAGCATCAACATTCTAGTTTTCAAAGCTGTTCTGGCGCAGTTCGGTGCAATTTTCGCATTTTTTATGCTTTTGGTACAAGAAAACGAAAATGTATATAAAATACGCAATATGTGCAGTTGTCTCACCCCTGTTCTTTCTTTTCCTCCAAGCATCATTTGTTTCTGCTTCTGTAGTAAGCCCTTGAAATATAGCTGGATTCGCACCACTGCATCCATACTAGTAGGGCCATAAAAATATCTTACGAACCCACTATGTCAACCATAAAAACCGCTGAAATTCAATTTCCTGGTTCATCCACCACACAAATGCTGAGTTAAGCCGTATAACGAAACAAAAAAATTTTATGGACCCAACGTTACTTCCAGAAAAAAAAAACCAAAAAAAAAAGAAGCAATCTACTTCTCGTTAAAGAACAATGCACAATTCCTAGCTGTATGATGTATGATATAGCAATTATTACTTATCTCACAAAAATACTGTAATGCCTTTCTTACATAACACATTACAGTAAAATGATTAAGGGTAAACAAAGCATCTCTTTTTTCTTTTTTCTGCACTGTGTTTGAGAATTTGTTGTATCAACATTCCTTATATTAGGGATTGGTAAATCAAACATATAGAGGAAATAAAAGCCTAGTGTCATTAGTGGTATAAGTCATATACAGCAAAATTTTCTGATGTTGGGAGAAACATGTGATACATTCAGCTGAACCCCTTCATAAATGACATGCACAGGGAGCAGTTCTTCTGTTCAACACCTATTTCAGGATAGGCACACTGGTCTCTCATACCCCAAGTGTCTCTCATAAAGTGGGTTCAACTGTATGATGTAATAAATGATACATGCATGACATTGGGATGGCTCTTTGATACTTTCTTGAAACTTAAGTCAGTTTGATATTCACTTTTTAGCTACCACCAATGAGTCACAAAAAATGCCGCTAATGACAAAAGCTGCGGTATTGGGGGTGAAGAGTTACCAAGTCACCCTCCATCAGGTTCGCCTCGCGTGCGTGCAAGATAGAATAATGCCGGCACACTCCCCATAGGTTTGGCTGTTAACGCTCTACAAAAAACAGCCCACGGAAGCATTCCAGGACATTTCGGCAAATACTTTCGAAACAAGGGAGGTCTTTACGATCAAGATAACAATCTCAGACAAAAAGAAAGCATTACCATACTTACTCACGTAATGAACCCACTCACGTAATGAACCCACTCGCATAATGAATCTACCTCCTACTTTGGTTCATGAAAAAAAAAATTTTTTTAACGAGTCTGTACACTTTATTTCAGTGTAATAACCACTGCCGTTGACAAACCAAACAACGGTAAGTCAGGCCATTATATTCCAAAGTAATGACGATATAAAGTTAATATGTATTCGAACAACCATGCTAAACAGTTGTAAGCAGCGCGAGAGCGGACGAGGCCAAACCAAATTTTAAAGTCGTGCCTTTTACAGCAAAGCGCCATCTTTCGAATCCAGAAGAAACCTTTATCTTATTCATCCTGAGAGAGCAGAGTCACCACCTGGTGGCCACTGATTAAAGTGCACCTAGTATGGATTGTATGGTCGTCGTACCTTCCATTCACCAGAATCATTTCGGTGTAGTTGCCGCATTGCACCGTAAAAACTTGAATATGGGTCGATTAAAAAAAACGCGATGGAAAGGCAACCCTAATCTTATACCGTATTTTTGCGCGTATAACCCGCCCCTGCATATAATCCGCACCCCCACTTTCAGCTCACCGAGAAGAAAAAAAAAATCCTCGCGTATTGCCCGCACATTTGATATACAGGAAAGGCTGTACAAAAGCTACTGCTTAAGCAAAATAGCACATATGTAGACAGAAAAAGCTTCATTTAGCAAGCAGAATACGCTGTCTGCAAGGCCAGTCACAATTCACTCACTGCTCTCGCTAGAGCTATCACTTGAGCCGCAGTCCTCACTATTATGCACAAGGTCATCTTCGGTTCATCCATGTTGTTTGTGATGCAGCATTTCTTGAAACTTTTTCGCACCATCTCACCTGGAATGGCCTTCCATGCCTCGACAATCCACTTGCAGAATAGGGCAATATCAAGCCTTTGGACTCGTCCTGTCGGCGTCAAGTCATAGCAGCCTTCGGCCATCCACTCGGCCATCCACATGCACTTTGAAGGGCTTGTTAAGTGACATATCTAGAGGCTGCAACATTGACGTCATTCCACCGGGTATAACAACTAAGTTGGTGCCGTTGCGTGAAAGTCGGTCCTTCACTTCCTCAGTTGTGTGGTCGCGGAACGAGTCAAGAACAAGCATAGACCTCTTTGCAAGCATCGCACCGGGCCTCTTCTCCCATACCGTCTTGATCCAATCTACGAACAAGTCACTGTTCATCTACGCGTTCTCGTGTGCGCGCACCACCACACCGGCAGGCAAATGAACCTTTGGTAGAGTTTTCCTTTTCAAGATGACGTACGGTCGCAGTTGCGTGCCGTCGGCGAGGGCACAAAGCAAGACTGTGATGCGCAGTTTCGTGTTCCCGCCGGTCAGCACGCTCAACCGAACTGCTGCCTGTCTTCTCAATTGTTGTGTCCAACGGCATTTCAAAATAAACAGGAGTTTCATCCGCATTGCCGATTTGCGAGAAAATGTAATTGTGCTGCTTTCGCAGGCCAATTACATATCTCTGGTACTTGAGCAGCTTCTCCTCATAAGAAGCCGGCAAGCGTTGACATATTGTAGTCCACCGTCTGATTGAGAGCCCTTGCCGCTTCATAAAGCGGTGCAGCCATCCGCGGCTCGCACGGAACTCGTGAGGTAGGCCTAGCTCCCTCAAAAGTCGCTGCGCTTCCACTTGGGCCACCTCGGTCGATACGGCATGACCCCTGCTTCACACATCTTCGATGAACTTTACTAGCTCCGCCTCCAGCTCAGGGTAGGCACCGGTCTTAGGGCCACGAAATGACCTACGGTCGCGGTGCGCGGCTCGTAGGCTCTTTTTCTTCTTTCTCCACAGTCGCACGCAGGACTTGTCCACATCGTGCCTTCTGCCTGCTTCGCGATTTCCGAATTCCTCGGCGACGGCGATGATCTTAAGCTTTTGCTGAGCCGTGAAGGCCTGCCGCCGTACGCTACTCATGGTGACAGAACAGATCGACTTAGCCTTGGCGAACGGGTCGAGATGTAGAGAACTAGTGGTATCAGCAAGGTAAAGAGCGCTCACACTCGGCGACAACTTGACAGCACTACCCCTTCTAGTACACTGTAACAGCACCCTGGAAACAACAGAACCGAAATACATGCCTTCTACCGCGTCAAAAAGTAGTACATTAATTTACTGATATCTCTATAGGCACTATAACATCTCATTTGCCTTGCTGAAATAAATACTGCTTTATTTATTATGGAACTTGCTTTATTTATTATGGAACTTTCTTAGACAGCACCACCTTTTCGGCAAGCCCTTTCCAAAAGTAAACATGGCGTCCGTGACGTAGGGACATGTGGAGGGTCACTGAGCGACCGCGAACGTCCAAAAAAATACTTGTGGTGTGATAGTGAGATTTTACACTGAACAATCGAATTGTCTCTCCCCAAATGTTTTTCTAAACGTTTCAACGATGCAAGCAAGCGAAACCAAAATCAGCCGCAAGCTGCCGTGCTACTTGCGGAGCAACACGAATTTGCGGAAACCGCCTCTGTAGCCTTCGCTACACTGTTAAGGGGCTTCACAGCACAACACGCATTGCTGTGAAGCAGCACTATAGGAAAAACCCCGCGTATTATCCGCACCTCCACTTGGCAACTGAAATTTTTGGGTTCTTGATGCGGGTTATATGCGCGAAAATACGGTATACCAGTCCCTGGCAGAAAAAAAAAAAAGTCTTGCAACAACGGGCAGCTGAAGTGGAAAGCCTCAACTGCCATCTTGAGCATCAGCAACGGTGCCAATGGGCAATGATAGGCAAGGCCTACAGTATTCTAGCAATGTCATTTTGCTTCGGTTATCCTTGTCGGTCTGCTGTTTTCTTTTTTCCATTTCCTTCAGAAATGAGCGGTAGTCGACAGCAGTTTACGATAAGAGATTAAGAAAAAAGTTATCGAGTATGCCAAAATGCACAGCAACCTGATGGTACGAGCATTCGGTGCTTCGGAGAGAAGCGTTCAATACTGGAGGAGCCAAAAGCAGCGCTCCACATCTTGCAGCAACCAAAAAAAAAAAAAGCTTCGTTTCGTGAACGGACTGCAGTGCACCCCAACCTGGAAACGCTACTCACCAAAGTCGTCCGGGAGCTGCGTGCAACGTCGCTACCCATGACAGTGGAGTGCATCCGTGTGAAAGCTATAGAGATAGTGCGCGACTCTGGCCTCATGAGGGCGCAATTTAAGGGCTTGCCATTTTATGGGTACACCAATTTAGGAAGCGAAAGGGCTTTGTACCAAGGCAGCGTACTACCATGTGCCAAAAACTGCCTGAAGATTTCAATAACAAGCTGGTCGAATATCAGCGCTTTGTCATTGGGCTTCATCGACAGCCTATGAAACTCCGATCTGGTTCGATATGCCTTCGCACCAGACTGTGACCACTAAAGGATCCAAGCAAGCGAAGCTCTTGACGACAGGCAGCGAGCATTCACGATTTACAGTTATGCTTGTGTGCACAGCCGATGAAAAGAAGCTGCCCCCTTTTGTCATTTTCAAGAAAAAAGGGGCTACCAAAAAAAGACTTTCCTCGGGATGTTATCATGAGAGCGAACGAAAAAGGGTTTGTGAATGAGTCCCTTTTGCTTGAGTGAATGCGGCTCGTGTGGAATCGGCGATCCGATGCGCTTTTTCAGCGACCGAGCATGTTGGTGCTAGACTAACTTCAACACGGCCGATGTAAAGAGAGCTCTGTCCAATGGCAAGACGGACCTTGGCGTGATCGCTGGAAGACTAATATCATTCCTCCAACTACTAGACATAGTGCTCAATAAACCCTTCAAAGATTGTGTGTGCAAGCTCTACATTGAGTGGATGCTGGGCGATCATACCGAGACCCCTGCTGACTGCCTACAACATCCACTGCTTGTGACCTTTTGTGGCGGGGTCAGCATGGAAATCTTTCTCGAAAGAGATAGTGTGCAAGCCTTTTCGCAAATGCTGCATCAGCAACGCATTAGATACGATGAAGGACAATGCACTCTGGGACGTAACTAGTGAGAAACAGAAGTCATCGGACTCAAGTTCGGGCAAGTCTAAGTTACAGCACTTTGTGGCCTTCTGGCATTTCACTACGTGTCGAAATAAAAAGAAACGTCACCACAGTGTAGCTGGTTGTGTCGCGTATTTATCAAGGTAAGAGTGCGTCGCCATACTTTGCAATTTTTAAGAATTTCTTTTTCAGAGATTCAATATTGGGGGGGGGGATCAACTTATATTCCGGTTTTTACTGTATATATTACGAGTAGGCTGCAGTCAAACCATATTATTCATCGACAATCAGCTCGCACCACTCACACAAAAACGCTGCTGCGTACATTTGTATGCGTGCCACCGGCCGCCTGTCAACACTAGCGCGGTGAAGGTGCTGCCACCTATAGCCCAATCTGCCTTACATTATAAAGTCCAGAGTTACTACCACAACTATGGGCTGTCCAGAGAGCCAACTATGCGGTGGTGAGGCTAGGCCTCCCCATTTCTATCTGGGAGCGGCCAGTGACATTACTCTACTGTCAAGCAACCCTGTGGCACGTCATGTGACACATGCGCTGAGCAGAGAGGCCCTCTACACATGCTTGGCGTATTTTGTCTCGTTTGCTTTGTGCAGTGCACATGATTTTCCCTGAGCTGCGATTTCCGTTCATCTGCGCAAATCGATCCGTACAGAGTTGTCACTGACTGTGAGGAGCGGCAACTTAGTGTGAGTGCAGAAAGCATGGCATCAAAGCAGTGCGAGCCCCTAACACTACAAAAAAGGTTGCCCTAATTAAGGAAGTCGAGAAAGGAGGCCGAACGAAATCGAGCATCGCGCAGGAATTCGGCATCCCTTTCTCTACGCTTTTGACGGTTTCAAAGGTGCTGGATGAATTTCAGCACAGCTTCTCCAGCCAGCGGAAGCGGGTCCGAGGGTCGAAGTTCATAGACAAAGTGACGTTGATGGTATGGGTTCCAAATAGGGCCCAGTGCAGCAGCAGGAAAGATACTCTAATGCGATGCCTGAAGAAGCTAGAGGACGCTCTCCTAGACCACAAAGTAGACGAGCATTAGGCAGTTTTTTCTGCTAAGTAAAGTGGCAGCGTGACAAAGCCCAGCCGGTTAAAATCTCTTGTATGTTATTTTTCTTGCTTTTAAACCTGCACGAAAAGAAAGATTATAAACTGCCGCTGAAGAGCCAGCAAGTAGTAGTGACTTTTCTGAAAAATAATCATTTTTCCTCGAGATTAGCACATCTTTGCTTATCTCAAAATTTTACTTGATTTTTACAACATCGAGTTAACAAGGTATTACTGTATATAATGAAACAGACATGACACCTTTCCAATAAGAATACATAGTGCCCACTAAGACTCAAGCCAGCTGATTCTGCCAGGACATGCAATACCTGAAACCCCAGCGCAGTGGAATTCTTACAAGGCAGTAATTTTATCTTGATACTTTAGCTAGTATTGATATGCTTTCCAAGTTTTTAAAAAAAGAAGAAAATGAGTTGTTCCTTACCAGCAGGTAGCACAACAGCCTCAACTGGCTCAGTTCTACCATTGCCCCTAATGCCAAGTCCTTCCCTGATAAAGCAAGAAAAGGATACAACTATTAAATAGGAAAAAAAAGAGCACAAAAACTTAACATTACTTGCTAGATTTTTCACAGTTCTAGCAAGATACAGATATTTAGGCATTTCGTAATAAAATATGCAATTTTTAATATATCCTTCCCAGGTTATTGCATTTTGAAACATGGCAAGCCGTTGTGAAGAATATAGCTTGCACTATTCGCCCAATAATCTCACATACTTATTTTTCTATGTGTATTTATGAAGCCCTGAGAGAGGAATACAAATGAGGAAAACAAAAGAAGCTTCACCAAAACTGAATCATTTTGTTTGCTGGGAAGAAAGGGGAAAAATGATTGAAATAATAGCAGAGACAAATGGATGTTGCAGGTTCTCATGTGGCCCCTCGAAAATAAGTAAACCTTCGTGTTACACTTTGAGTGCTACAAGAGAAAACATCCCATTAGAAGAAGACAGAGCATGCTCAGGGAGAAGTAGGGGCCTAAATGCTTTGCCTTTCCTTGCACTACGAAAAATGTAGTCTTCCAAACCAGTTTGCCAGAACTCTGTTGGATGTCGTGATACACAGATGAACTGTTTGTTCTGTACATACAAGTCAATTTTCTAGAAACCAAAACAGATACACCAATTTTCTTTGAATTCTGAACAAAGACATGAACAATATTCCTATTTGAGGCGATGCTCCCAAGAAGACTAAGCAAATTTTTAAAGTACTGGGATTCATTACATTTAGATTAAAACCGTGATATATAGTTGACAGCCATTTTTTTTTTCACCCTGCAGTATAGATAAAACTTTTGCACATTTCTCCTCCTATATATTATATAAGGACTGTTCAATGAAATTAGATACTAAGTAAGCAGAAAAAAACTAATTTCTGAATAAAAAATGAACAACTATGTCTGCTCAAAAAAAGAATGTAGAGAGAACCCAATTATGTGATCTGATGAAATTATAATAATTATATTAAATATAAGTAATTGTGCTGCTTTTTTTCAATAACGTTCTACCATGGGTTAGTTGGTTTAACACACCATATTCATTGTGCAAACTAATCAAAGGAATTCACTAGAATGACAATACATGCATGCGCACAAGAAGCTGAGCACAAGCTATCAGCTGTTTGTATTTAGGAAAACATGAGAAATGCAAAGCCATTACAATGTGTAGAGCTTCCTTCCCCAGTCAGCAACACCACTGATTGCTTTTGATTAAGCTAATCTTTTTTTTTTTAGGTAAAGACTGCGCACTGATATATATACCATGAGGGGCCACTTTAATGTTGCAAGCCTAGACCACTTCTTCATTCAATTGCTGGGCTTATATAAAATCACCACCTGCAAACTTTGACGAGAACCGGCACAAGATCTTGGTCATCATTCCCAATTTTGATTAAGTCTACTAACACAAAGGTCTTGGACCTATAACAGTAATTGTGAAGTTAGTTTTGTGAAAATTAATTTTGTTCATCTAAAAAAAGTACACCATTCAGCCAATTTCACCTTTTCTGTGTTTTTAATGCACCTAGTGTCCAAATCCAATTATATCAGAATTTGATTTCCCATTGCTGTGGAAGTAATTTGACAGAAATGCTTACGAACATTGGGAATGACCCAAAACATCTGTAATTCCGGAATTCATTGCTATGTAGAAGAAGTTAAACGATAAAATTCAGTAAATACTGACAAGCATTTGCACTTCCCTCTGCGATAATTTAGTGGCATTCTCACATATCGTTATGTTTCTAAATCGTGCTGAAATGCATGAGGTATATATACCAAAAGCGCTGAAGCTTCAAAATAATTCTTAAAAAATGCCATTTTTAATTTTTATGAAAATAGTTAAATTCAAAAATGTTGTCTACTGTTCCACATAAAAAAAATTTTTCAACATATTTAGTTAAACAAGTTACAATAAATCAAATGTGACCAACTCAGCCTTGTCTCTTCTTCTTCAAGGTCAGTGTGTCTTTATTTTTTGAATTTCCAGAAGCTACTGCTTTTGTACTGCAAATAGTATGCAGATTGGCAATTCTACTTCACAACAAGAAACCAAGAAGACTATGTCTTATGCCTTTTGGATTTTATTCTGTCTTTCTCCCTTGTTATGTCTGTACTGTTGTACCGATGAACTAACTTTCATTCCCAGAAAGTTTTGTCACATTTTATTCCACTACTAATATACAGAGAAAAAAAAATGTGCACTTCTTGGTTACATTTCAAAATAAAGAAAGCAAACAGCACAATACTGTCATTACAAACACTGTAATAATACTAAACAGCTGCAGGAGACAGAACGCAAAAAAAAAAAAGATTTATAGCAGCATGCTTTTAACACAATGCTCTCAATTTCCAGTATAACATGGGAGTATTATCATGATGCACAAGCAGCGGGCACAATGTTCATACACCACCACAACGGTTTACTTAAAGTGATGCACAGCAAACATGAGCTGTATAGCACACAATATTACACTAACTACTACTGTCGAACACTCTTTCCACAACCCCTTTTCAGACACCGTCTATCTTTCGTTAGAAACATAAAAACCTATCCGAACCCATTCTCCAAACAGTTCCATTCCCAGGAATGCTTTCACATGCGCCCAACCTACACTTTACGTGAGAAGAAGTACAACAGCCAAAGCAAACACTCACTTCAACTTACCCCCAGACATAGCCCATTTTCTGCATCAGTTTGGAACCGATACCCTGAGAAGAAAGCAAAACAAATTTAAGGATCCATCATAATCTAGTATGCTTTGTATATGATAAATGTGCAGGAATAATAGAAAGAAGCAGTGTGAAAGAGGGGGTTCCTTTATTCAATTTAAGTAGCTAAAAAACAGTTAATGACAAGGTAAGAATGAATGAAGTATTGTAATAATGCAAGAGTACTGATTATACTTTTGTTTTTCAGTCATGATAAAGCAAAGTGGAAAAAATCAAATGATAATGCCAGGAAGCTGCTTTTGAGATAAGTAACTGGTGGCCTTAGGCTTAGGTATTATGCATTTTGACTAAACAAAGTCAGCTAATCCAGAAAGCACCAGACATATCAAAATAAATACGTTTTCTTAAGTATTCCTCATTTTTGTAGTAGTGCTAAAGCTGAGTAGCACTGGATTTGGTATTTTCTTGGGAGAAAGCGAAATAAAAAAAAACAGTGATTGAACACTGATTAATGGCTTCTCTGGCTGGAATAAATGAATAAACACTTATGTAAGTGCCCTTCAGGCGAGCCGGGGGGAAATGGGGATTAACCCCTGTCCCTTCCCACCCTCCAGCTAAAAAATTGTTCAGACATCTGCATTCAGACAGACTGCCATAATTTTTCCAGCATGATATGGCCCCTTTTTGCTGCCTACCGTTAAAGAAACTTAAGTAGTGAAGTCATATTTGTGTACTGTTAGCAAATTCCACCCAAGTAAAACAACACATCAGTATTATCTGAATTGACAACCTTCTGAATATCTAACAGCCTGCTTTACAAATTGAGTTGTGTGGCCTCCTTTCCCTATCGCTTTGACGGACAGTAATGAAAAGTCAACTGTATATGAAAACAAAAAGTTTGAATCCGAAAATAGGTAAAAAGAAAAGAAAAATATTTTTCATGCAGATTAAAAAGTTACAGCTTTGCCGCAAAGATGAAGCAATGAACGTGATAGCAAGAAATTGGAAGGTCCCTCGCAGAATGGCAAGCAGATCGAAACGTGCCCCGCATTTCTCACACACATATAATGCACGACTTGTACTCACAGGTACAGATGAACGCGAATAAGCGTCTAAATTGTTACTTCGCTGGGTCTGAAAAGTGTGCTCTTTTTGCAAACGGAGCTTTTGCATGATTGCACCTGGTAACTACAACAGAATTGTTCCAGTGAAGGTTTAAGGACAGCCAAGACATAAGATGCTCCCTATCGCGAGATAAGGGCGCGCGAGTGTGCGTTCAGGGGCTTTACGACCATCCGCTTACCTCCACGAGGTAAAGTGCGCGTGGGAGACAAGGGCGCGCATTACCGCAAGCTCTCTGCGCCATCTTGCTGTTAATGCTGGAAAAATGATAGTTCCCCTCCGAGATGCCCATCACCAGCGGTAAGTGCTACGTAGATATATATAGCTTGACGTTCGAGCGCTGAAGGACGCGCTTCTCCGTAGCTCAGTGGTTAACGCCTCGCATTCACGACTCAGTAGTTCTTCGTTCGATTTCACGCGCCGGAGTCTTTTTCAGGATTTTTTTTATTTCTTGCATTTTCATATATATAGACACTTATACATATACGGTGCATGACATCAACGCAGATGCTGGTGCCAACAGGAAAATCCAGCTGAGAGTGTCCATATAATTGCTATCGCAATAAAAACATTCTCGAATTGGGAAGCTGAGTAAACCAAAACAGGCCACGCCAATATTTCTCATACTGTATGCACAAAATGATGATTTTGCTGTTATGAAATCAAATTATTATTTCAAGTTTTATATTTAGATTACCCTGATTTGTAGATATCACAAAGTCATCAGGTATGTCCCATTTCCTTTGTGAATTAAAAACATTCTGGCAGAAGCGAATGCTAATACCTTTGTGTGCTTCTCCCAAGCTCCAAGAGGCAAACCTGATGCAGTACTTGGAGACCAGGCAACAACAGGTGCCCCCTCCTGATCATCTTCACAACTTCCTGCAATTGGTACACCATCAGCGGCTCGCTGGGAGTCACTTTCAGAGTCTGAGCTTTCCACTGTTCCATCGTCTTCCAAATAAAAAACATCCTCAACTCCAGTGGACACTGTTTTCCCAGAGTGAGAAAGACGAACCACAACCTCATCTTGCCGTTCTCCAATGGACTCCAAGGCAGCCAGCTGCCATAGGCCATCTTTGTCACTCTTCACGAGACAAGGTAAGCCAGGTTTAAAGCCGCTAAAACTGGGCTCGGAATATTCACGCAGGTCGGACAGTGCAACAGCATGACCATGAGAGAAGCGACATTGTTCCTGGGTAAATTTACAGCGACCTTCAAGGAAGAACGGACATGGCTTCATGGCTGACACAGTCGGGTGCGTGAACATAACCTGCAATGGTAGAATAAAGACACTGCACCAAGGTGAAGAACAGAAGTTGGCATCAAACATGAACAAAATTAAAGTAATAGAAAATGCCAACATCGCATAAAACAGCCTAATGATTGAAACATAATGATGACATGTTATGATGTAAAAAATAATCTTGGACCTGCATATTACTAATTTCTCACAAACTTATGACTACGATGCTTGCCTAGGGCCATCATTACAGGAAATAACTAAACCTTCACAAAATGCGCTTCAACACAATGAAACTCTAAATATATTTACCAACTTACAATTTCATACATACAAATTATCACACACTTTTTAATCTCAATAAAACAAAAACTACTTATCCACAATTTCAATATATCAAAGTTTCACTGCTGCAGCCAATAATAATTCCTGGGGCCTTGCATGCCAAAACCATGATATGATTGCGAGGCACAGTGTAGTTTTGACCACCTTGGGTTTTCTAACGCAAACCTAAATCTATAAACATGGGTGTTCTCTGCAATTTTACCCCATCGAAATGTGGCCACCAAGACAAGAAATTGAAACTACACCCTTGAGCTTAACAACGCAAGCCCTTACATCCTAAGCTACCACTGCGGGTAGCTGCCATACAGGAGCACCGAGGCATCACACACACACAAAAAAAACGCCAGGCCTGCTCGGAAGGCGTAGCACAGTCACAGCGAAAGCTAGAAGAGTGGCCTTTCAGAGCCTTCTCTAGACACTCATTGGGTAACTCCTGCAAGCACACTTGCTTGATGGCCACTACGGCATTATTAATAAAATTTGGGGGTAGTAGGACGGTATTCGCTGCGCTATTTTTCTTCTTCTGAGAAGCGTGGTATCCGCTACACTATTGCGAGGAATTTTGTGCCAATTATTCATGCAGTGGATTAATAGCTGAATTTTGTGCCAATAGTTCAAGCACCACAGTTAATAGCTGAACAAAAACAAGCTTTTGTAATGGGTTGAAGCATTGGTCGACCCACTCGTTATGTTATTCGCATTTTGCGATGACTGCTTGTTCTATCGCCGTTTTAAAACGCTTTATAAGTCGTATTAACGTGATTGCTTTTCCGACATCAAGCCTGCCTAAGGCAAGTTTGCCAACAAGTCCCAAGCAGTGCCGTGGCTCAGTGGTAGAATACTGGGCTGGCACCCAGCAAACCCGGGTTCAAGCCCCACTGTGTCATTGGTACTAGACTTTTTTTTTTCTAATTTTGCGCGATGTGGTTACGGACACTGACGACGGTGGCGGACAACTACGGCGCTGCGCGAGACCCGAGTTGTGATCTCATAACAGCTTTCGCTGTAAAAATTTTCTCCAGTTGAAGGGAATCAAATTGTTACAGGTCACACACGGCTTTATTAAGCAATTTAATGAATTTCATGCCACACAACAGAGAATGGTAGAGAGAGAACAAGTCAATATCACAAGCTCCAAGGTCTTTCTTGCTTCTGTACCAATAAGCATGAAAGAAGATTCAAGCGGATGACAACGACATGAAAAGGTACGTCGACAAACGCCATGGCATAAAGTATTTCCTGTACTTTTTTTTTCCTTTGTTCAGATGAGCACAGTGGCAGCTGTAAGGGCAATAGTGCTAAATGCAACAACCTCTGTCTTAGCGTCCGAGTGACATAATTGTTTTAAAAATAGTTGTTACAGAAAAGGCTAGCACCTTGCAAGTGATCTCGACAAGCAAGAAAACGGATGCCACCTACTAGTTTTAGGGTGCCAGCTAGCTCGCTAACCATGCTATCAAAATCAGAAGCTGTCATAGACCATCTGAAAAAAGTGTCAGGTGCTTTTCCCCTAAATACATGTTTTGGCACTGAGTATCGACCCCTTTTCAGAGCTGCTCACAGTTACCCACCATGCTGCTATACTAACTTTAAAACTTGAAGGTTTCTGTAAAACCACTGATCAATATATGCGATGCCATAACAAATCATACTAAATTCTCAGACTTAATGTGCACATGCCACATTGTAAAAAAAAATGTGGCCCTTAAGAACACAGGTACTGTAATTCAGGCAATTGTCTCATCATCATGAAATTTTTAGGCAAAATATTTTTATTTTTGTGGCTTGTAAACACAGCAGATTTTAAAGTTAAGCATTCACGGGACTGAGCAGACAGCAGCTGTTAAGAACGATGAACATAGTATTCAATAACAAAGATACCGTGCTCGTGCAACTCTGGAAAACACATAATTGATGGCAAGCTGAAGCTGGAGAATTGGAACAATTGCTCATTTACACCAAATATAACAGTGTGTTACAGTTACATTTCTGTTGGATTTTCACATGCCAAACAGCCTCAGAGAAGATTATTTGGCAACATGACATCAAACCGAATTAGTGGCTCTCATGTCTGACTAAAATTGAGTTTTTAAATGAAACTAAACACAGCTTTGTCATACTGCCCTATTACTCATGCATTTTTTGTGGTGAACCCCGAACCTCAAATCTAAAAAAAAAAAAATGTCAAATGCGATTGAAAATATACTACCCTATTATTCATACATGTTTTGCGGCCGTTTTTGCAAAAATACCCATTGTTAAGCGACAAAATATTGCATAAAAGGTCAATTTTATAGCTAAATTTAAACGAGCACGGACACAGAAATTTTTCACCTCGTATTTTTTTTTCTGCAATAAAGAGCTTATAACTCACTTATCATGCCTGGGTATCTTGTGCGAGTGTACTACTATTATTTATTTAAAGATGTTTACAGAACACACAGTGGAAGTTTCAATTTCGAAGAGCACCAAGCAAGGCAGTTGAAGTTGCAGTGGCTAGGCAAACACAGCTGGCCACATGACCACACGAAACTGCAACATAGGTGCCACGCACTAGCGGAACATTCTTCTACTATTAAATGCCTAAATGAGCATCTATGCAAAGTAGCAAAGACATTACAAGCACACCTTTTAGGTTGAAACTAAATGTGAGCATCATTCAAGTGGTCTTATCAGTGCTCAATCATTTGAAAATCACTGTTCAAAACCAAAAAATTACCAACAGCATAAAAGTATCCAATTCTTTATCACAAAGGGCACTGAAAAGATACTCAGCAAATGCTAAAATTTTCACACCCACAATCTTCAACACATGGTTATGGTTAATGATTGACTGCTTGAAACTTTCAGCCGAAGTGGAGACTCAAAAATCTAAAAGACTAAAAATGCAGGCCCAATTTCATTTCCTGTTTTAAGCCAACTAGCCCAACAATTCAAACTTCAAAGGATACTTCATCATCACCATCGTCATCAGACTGACTTCGTCCACTGCAGGACAAAGGCCTCTCCCATGTTTCGCCAGTTAACCCGGTCCTGTGCTTGCTGCTGCCAATTTATACCCGCAAACTTCTTAATCTCATCTGCCCACCTAACCTTCTGTCTCCCCCTAACACGCTTGCCTTCTCTGGGAATCCAGTTAGCTACCTTTAACGACCAGCGGTTACCCTGTCTACCCGCTACATGCCCAGCCCATCTCCATTTCTTCTTCTTGATTTCAGCTATGATGTCCTTAACCCCCGTTTGTTCCCTAATCCACTCTGCTCTCTTCTTGTCTCTTAAGGTTACACCTACCATTTTTCTTTCCATTGCTCGCTGCGTCGTCCTCAATTTAAGCTGAACCCTCTTTGTAAGTCTCTAGGTTTCTGCTCCGTAGCTAAGTACCGGCAAGATACAGCTGCTATATACCTTCCTCTCGAGGGATAGTGGCAATCTACCTGTCATAATTTGAGAGTGCTTGCCAAATGTGCTCCATTCCATTCTTATTCTTCTAGTTACTTCAATCTCGTGGTTCAGCTCCACGGTTACTACTTGCCCTAAGCAGACATAGTCTTTTACAACTTGAAGTGCACTATTACCTATCTCGAAGCGCTGCTCTTTTTCCGAGATTGTTGTACATTATTTTCGTTTTCTGCAGATTAATTTTAAGACCCACCTTTCTGCTCTCCTTGTCTAACTTCGTAATCATGAGCTGCAATCTGTCCCCTGAGTTACTCAGCAATGCAATGTCATCGGCAAAGCGCAGGTTACTAAGGTACTCTCCATTAACTCTTATTCCTAACTGTTCCCATTCCAGGCTTCTGAAAACCTCCTGTACGCACGCGGTAAATAGCAATGGGGAGATTGTGTCCCCCTGCCTTACGCCCTTCTTGATTGGTATTCTGTTGCTTTCATTATGAAGCACTATGGTAGCAGTTGATCCCCTGTAGATTTCTTCCAGGATGTTTATATATAATTCATCAACGCCCTGATTCCACAGTGTATGCATGACGGCAGATATTTCTACTGAATCAAACGCCTTCTCGTAATCTATGAAGGCTATGTATAGCGGTTGGTTATATTCTGAGCATTTCTCTACTACCTGATTGAGAATATGAATGTGGTCGATTGTTGAGTAGCTTGTTCGAAATCCTGCTTGTTCCTTTGGTTGATTGAATTCTAATGTTTTCTTTACTCTGTTAGCAATTACCTTTGTAAATAGCTTGTATACTACAGATACCAAGCTGATCGGCCTGTAATTCTTCAAGTCCTTGTCATCTCCTTTCTTATGTATTAAGACGATGTTAGCGTTCTTCCAAGACTCTGGTACTCTTCCTGTCAAGAGACACCTCGTAAACCGGGTGGCTAGTTTTTCTAACACAATCTGTCCTCCATCTTTCAGCAGATCTGATGTTACCTGATCCTCACCAGCAAAGCTTTTCTAACTTCTATCATTACTGGTGGGGTGTCATCTGGGTTACTACTAGTTCTCATAGTATTAAAGTCGTGGTTGTGCTGGCTACTGTACAGATCTCTGTAAAACTCCTCCGCTATTTTAACTATCCTATCCATATTGGCAGTTATTTTGCCTTCTTTGTCCCTTCGTGCATACATCTGATTTTTGCCTATCCCAAGTTTCCTCTTCACTGCTTTGACGCTCTCTCCGTTTTCAGAGTGTGTTCAATTCTCTCCATGTTATACCTTCTTACATCGCATACCTTACACCTATTAATCAACTTTGAAAGCTCTGCCAGTTCTATTTTGCCTGTTGTGTTTGAGACTTTCATGATTTGACGCTTCTTAATGAGATTCTTCGTTTCCTGGGAAAGCTTGCTAGTGTCCTGTCTAACTACCCTGCCTCCAACTTCCACTGCACACTCCGTAATGATACTCGTCAGATTATCATTCATTTTATCTACGCTAAGGATGTTTTCCTCACTAAGAGCCAAGTACCTGTTCTGAAGGGAGACTGAATTCCTGTACTTTACCTCTCAGTGCTAGCTCATTGATTGGCTTCTTACGTATCAGTTTCTGTCGTTCCTTCTTCAAGTCTAGGCTAATTCGAGACCGTACCATTCTATGGTCACTGCATCGTACCTTGTCAACCACTTCCACATGCTGACTGATGCCTGGGCGTGCACTCGTTATAAAGTCTATTTTGTTCTTATTTTGCCATTATTGCTCCTCCATGTCCACTTGCGGTTTCATGGAGGAGCCCCAAAGGGTACTTAACGATTCATAAAATTACATAAAGTGAAGTGTGGTCACAGTTCAACATGGCATTCTATCGGTATTAACACGACAATGTTAAAGCTACACTGACAAGATAATTTTCAATTGTAGTTCTATTTCTGCGAAATGACAAACCAAGTTCTCAACAAGTTCTGAAGAGGTACTGACAAGTGCATTTCACTCAAAAACGTATTAAGCATGTTCTTAACGTTAATTTCAGTTCCTACTGTACCCTGACACTACAACGCATTACTAGTTCCTTGTTCCGTGCTCACACAACATATCACAATGCTTCCACTGCCGTAATGCTGTGTGGCTCCATTGGAGAAGTACAAGCAGCCAGTGTGAATGTTTTTGGTGGCATGCAAATTACTATACTGTATTTTTTAGTACAGTCGAATCCGATAATTCGAACTAGAAGGGGCCCAAAAATTTGTTCAAATTAAAAGAAATTCGAATTAATGAAAGCTAAGTAAACAGAGGGCTCCCCATGCAGTGGCGCATGTACATTGAGCTAACACACGAGGGGAAAGTTTCAGAAGACTTGCATTTATTCACAAATTGCAGGACATCCGTCATTATTTGAAGTAATCGGTGATGCGCGTCTGCACACATTTACCTTGCAGCGAGTCAATCAATTTCGCACGCAGCTTGCAAAGCACACAGCTTGCAAAGCACACAGCTTGCCCCGAGAATGCTAAAGACTTCAGCTTTAGCATTCTCCTGGCAAGAGAAGTTCTGCGCGGCACTGTCCAGCGCCAACACTCTCTAATGACGACAACAACGACTGCATCTTCGCTACTACCCTCTGTGCCAAAGAAAGCATCGTGAAGAGAAAGGAGGAGTGTCTCCACATGGAGAGAAGCAAATCGGCATTTTAGAATAAACCAACACTCCAAGGCAGCTTTTTTTTTTTTTTTTGCTCTCTTTGCGTTCGCGCACGTCGTTGAAAAGAGAAGGGTTACGTGGCAAGGACGGGAAAGGGGAAGCATGGCACCGGCGCGTGAGCCACTCTCCACGACAGCTTTCTATTTTTCTTTTCCTCTCTCTCTCTGCACGCGGCGTTGGAAGTAGAAGGGTCTTTACGTGACAGGGATGGAAAAAGGAGAAGCGCAGCACAGGCGTGTCGCAGATCGGCATTTGAGAGAAAGCAAACATTTCACCACAGCCTTTTCTTTCTTTTTCCTTTCCTTCCCGCGCAGCGTTAAGGTGTCGGAGGTACCGCCGCGGAATTGGGTGGGGTGCTGAGAGCATTTTCGGGGCGTGGTATGTTGGAATTAACCGTCGAAAGTGCTTGCGCGTTCTAATTACCGGGCGTTTTCGCCCATTGGAATACACGTAGCTTTGACGGAACTTCATCGTGAGTTCGAATTAATGAGATTCAAGTGTACCAACATCAACATAACTAGCCATAGTGGTGCAGGAAGTCACCAGAATTGACACTGTAGCCTAACGTCATGCTGGAGCCGATGGCAGTGGATGCGCCAAGAGAAAACTCACTTTAATATCAAAATAAAATATCGTTAAACATTCACTGAGCCTCACACTTCCTCAGAGCAGTTTTTGTATACAGAAGGTTTATATGACAGTAAAAACAGTTTCGAAAGTTGCTGTCGGGACCCCTTTAAGCCAACCTGCAAAGTCTGTTCTTAAAGGACCCTAGCAACACTGTTTAACATAAGAAAATGTTGCCAATCGGCAGTCGAGCTCCAGAGAACACTTGAGCTAAACATTATAGCATAGAACGCAGCGTGAAATTTACAGTTACTTATCAGTCAGCTAGAAATCCCTTGCTCTTTTTCCTAAAACTGATTCCACAAGCCTAAATGACCAAACTTAATAACCATTGTCTGATTTGAGCATTGTGAGCTGCATAGTTACCTCAGCTATCGCGGGATGACACGACATACCCAAACATTCGCCTGCAATCAGACTGAAAGTAAGCCACAGACAGAAAGTTCCCAAGATTATGATGTGTGCTCAAAGACAAACAGACCCTGAAAATTGATATACAGGTTGATTTTTTTTTTAATGCAACGTATCAGCCCTTCTCTTATATACTGGTCATTTGCAAAAAAATGTGGAAGTCTCACAATAGTGGGCAGCTGAAGTCGAAAGCCTCCATTACCATTAAGAGCATCTACAGCAGCGCCATCAGGTGAGGCTAGGGAAGGCCTACAGTGTTCTAGCAACGCCATTTTGCTTTGGTTATCTGCTGTCAGTCTGCTATTTTCTTTTTATATTTCCTTCTGAAATGAGTGGTAGTCGACGGAAGTTTACAATAGGCTTTAAAAAAAAGTTATTCTGTATGCCAAAGCCCACGGCAACCTGGCAGCACAACGGGAATTCGGTGCATCGAAGAAAAGCGTCCCGATACTAGAGGAGCCAAAAGCAGCGCATCACATCTTGCAGCAACAACAACAAAAAAACATCATTTCGTGGACAGCCTGCAGTGTACCTGGAACTGGAAACGCTACTCGCCGAATTCGTCTGGGAGCTGCATGCAATGTCGCTACCCGTAACAGCGGAGTTCATCCGTGTGAAAGCTTTTGAGATAGTACGCGACTCTGGGCTCACGAGGGTGAAATTCAAGAGATCACCATCGTGGGTGCGCCGATTTATGAAGCATAAGGACTTTGTGCTGAGGCGGCGTACTTGCGTATTTTCACAAATGCTGCATCAGTAACGCATTGGATCAAACGAAGGATGATGCACTCTGGGAGGTTACTAGTGAAAAACAGATATCGTTGAACTAGAGTTCACACGAGTCTGAGTGACAACACTTTGTGGCTTTCTGGCATTTAACTACTGTGCACAGATGATCTATCGCAAATAAAAAGAAATGTCACTACACTGCAGCTGGTTGTGTGGCATATTTACCAAGGTAAGGGTGCGCTGCAATACTTTGCTATTTTTTAAATTTCCTTTTTCAGAGATTTAAAGTTTGACGGTTCAACCTATATTCTGGTTTTCACTGCCCTCGTGTCGTCCACCCCCCTGCATAGCTTTCAGCATGCTCGCTGGTACGAAAGGAGCGAGAAAACAGCTGAAACGTGCATCAAACTCTTGCAATTCTGCTCCCAGTTGATGGATTCTAAAAACTTCAGCAGCAGTTGATTCGTTGGGCAATAAATTGCTTCAATGAAGCCATCTGATCATTACCTGGAAAAGTGTTGCAGGTCCTCTTTAAGATAAATGTAAACTACGCTACAATGATTCACTCACATTTACTTTGATGTCATCAATGTGAGTGATGTCAGAAGCATCTACGGAGAGAACAACAGCACTGTGGTATGGGAGCTGTCCCCAGTCTTTGGAAAATGGTGCCTTCACATGAGCGCCTTCTAGATGATCCACAAGTTCTGCAAGCTCTTTACAATGGTCCTCGGCAGCAGTGACAGCTTGATCTTGCACTTCTGCTAAAGCACCAAGACTCTTCATCTCTGCCTGTAGAGAATACAGAAGTGCATTCATTGATATCCCCTTGTCTAGCATCCCTTTCCTCTTCCTGTCATGTAGGACACGACATTGCCAAATACAGCAAACTATCATTTTTATTCAAAGTGAAGCTTCGACTTGACTATATTATGCCTCACATTATGCCACCGCAACTCTCTGAACAAAATCAATTTAATGTGTATTGCTGATATTGAACTTTACAACACTATAATGAACATGTACAAGGTTCACTGCCACAAGAAATCTATAAATAAAAAAATAGGAAGTGCCGCCATCAATTATTTAAATAGCACAGTCCACAAAACTAATGCTTAGCAAAAGAGAAGCTTCTTTTTTTTTAATCTCTGAGAACAACAAGCTGTGTTTTTAACTCTTTTGGCATCGCCCCCTAGGAGCAAATCATAAATGATCGACGACTTTCCACATGCAGCTTAATTAAAATTTTCATGTGTTTTTGCATGTATTGCTGTCTAACGTGTAGTTTAATCACTGGACTTCCAATTTTGGCAAAGCTTCCATTCTTCTGGAAAACCGTGGTACATGAGTGAGAGATTTGTAGGTAGCGGTGGCGGCAAATGCAGCAGACCGTGGCATGAGGCTCCCGTCAGGCTGTGCTAAGAAACAGCCATAAATTGCACCATTTTGCTGCTTCAACAGCTCATTTTTCTGATGAGTCAAGCATCAAAGTCTCTGAAGGTGACTTTGACAGCTCAGATTTAATTTATTAGAGTGATTCAGTTGAGGGTCGACCTGGGACTTAAGCCAGTACTCGTAGGTAAGTGTAGTTTCGTATTCGCTTCTCTCACAAGTGACCAAAGTGGTTTGCTGTTTGTTCATTGTTTCATTTCCATTTCATAAGGTCTCAACAAGCTTTGAGAGAAGACCTCATCCATCAGCTTCTTAATCTTTACAACGCCAGGCGAGCTGCACAGCTCCACCTCCTCCACCCCCCTTCACAAGGCACAAGCTTCCCAAGCTGGAAAGGTAGAAAGGCATAAGAATCGCAAGCTGTGTTATGATCAGAAGGAAACCGAGCTGAACACAAGTGTTTTCACAGTACATGTTGTAGGTGGTCATTGTGAAGGCATTAGAGAATGCCTGAGGGAACACAAGCAAGATGAGCGTGTGCGGTATATCAAACATGACTGCAACTATAACCTAGCCCAACTGAGTATTATTACAAATTGGCGCAGCCACATATTGTTTCTGTAAGGACATTCAAGTTGAGATGTGTGTGGACTTCACAGTTGAAGCAAGTCAACGCGATGGCATCCGTATCTTGGCTGCAATGCCTCAATATGAAAAATAAAAAGGTCTTCTGGAAGCAATGAGTCTGACCCATTTGTCTCCTATATAACCACTAAAGCAAAGCTCACTCCAGATGATTTATTGGCAAAAGGAAAAGTGGGGATCAACTTAACCTTCAATAGTAGGAGAATTTTGTTCTGACTCCAAGTGGAAGCTACGCGAAACCTAACACCATTTCTTCGCCTGACAGTTCCATCAACTTGGCCAAGAAGTTTCTCGAAATGCAGCAGGAACAGAACAGGCAGCAAAATGATTTGGTGCAGTTGCTTGTAAACGAGACTGAATGAATAAGCAAGTGTAGTATCAAGCATGTGAAGTCAGACATGTTGGATGCAGAATGTAGGAGTCCCGAGTACTGGTAGATAAATATGCATGCAATGAAAATTACTAGCACAGTGACGACAATAGAGTGAAAAACATACAATTACTGTATTCCTATCCGGAATAGTGAAAAATTGGAACAAGTTGCATGTCAACACTCACAGCAAAAAGCCAAGGACAGAGCGGAAAGTTTTCCCAGCTCTTCAGCAAGAACAAGGTCTTGCTATGGGAGAAAGCAATTGTATTCAAGTACACGTCTGAATCTCCATTGAGCTATTTTTACAAGAAAATATGGAAGCTCCACCTGGCTTACATGCTTGCCTGAGAGGTCTGTGGTTCTGCTTATCATCCATTGCTTGAGTTTGAACCTCAAGAAGCGAATACAAGTGAGATGACCCAACATGGTTGAAGTACTCCCGAATGGAATGCAAAACATCTACCTCCAGCCCCTAAGAACCCAGCGTCAACCCATGACAGCTGTTGCAAGGTGTACAGATACTATGCAAGCTGATGAAAGACGCCCACTTGCAAGCTGGAAGCATACCGCAACGTGTGTGTCTTTTTCGACGACCGGGGAGACTCGGGCCATAACGAAAAACTAGATGACGTAACAAAAAATAGGTAAGAAGGGTCCCGGCTTCCGTCTGATGACATTAAGAAAAGCTGTTTATTTGTCTCACACAAGCCTATTGCACATATCTGTTTTTGTTAATAGAAAGCAAAGGAGAGTGCTCTATTGTACAGCGGAGCCAGCGTCAAAGTCATAAATGCTAGTATTGTTGACAGTGAGAGAGTACAACAGGGACGGCCCGTGGAGGAAAAACAGATACAATAGAACACAGGATATTCACGATAAATGGACTTGTGTTACCATATTCTGTGTTGGCAACACTGTCACTGTGCAAGCACTGGTACTCGACCAGGGGGCCCTATGAATTACTCCTTTCACGCCAGCCCATCAGCACCCTTAACTTCAACATATACTGCACTGGGGAAGTTACCACAGAATAAAAGTGCAACAGCCTAAACGCTTCGACTTGACCTGAAAAGACTCTACGAAACCCATCATCAGGAGAAGATATTGACACTTTACCTGGAATTGCTATGCGTTTCCAGAGGAAACAAATGAAAGATGACGTTCAACAGTATGTTCATTCCTGTCATCAATGTCAAATTGACAATGAATGAGACAGTCTTGCTTCAACACTCTGGCATACTGTTTGAAGTCGTTCATGTGTATTTCACATAACTCAAGAAAAAGGCTCCTGGGGTAGGAAAATATTTTTTCCTAGTTGCAATAGACCAGTGCACAAGAGCAGTGGCTGGACAGCCAGGAAGAGAATACTCAAATAGTGTTATTTCTCTTTTGTTTCAAACGTTTAAAAACACTACAGGACCAGCGTTTTTAAGCCAGCATTTTCAAGAGTGTGTTATTTCTCTTTTGTTTCAAACGTTTAAAAACACTACAGGACCAGCGTTTTTAAGCCAGCATTTTCAAGAGTGGGCAAAGGAATGATAGCGTATACAGCTTTATTTTGGTTTCGTTTAGGCTCACGAGATGGTCCCATGGTAACTTCTTTCTTTTTTTGCCAACACCCTTTCGGAGCAGATTTGGGGCAGTTACAAGCAAATATTGCACTTTGGAGCAGCATGGAGTAACATTTCTCTTTGGGAGCAGTTTGGAGCAATTGGAGCAGCACTTCCTTCACTGTACTAAGCAAAACTCAAAACGCGCAGTTTTGCGGCTTCTTGAAGCAACGCAACCACGTTCCGTTTAACACGCCGCGCCAAAGCAGCGGTCAAGATTATAATCACTCGCGTCGTTCAGGATTAAATGGAAGCGCTCACCTGAAACCTCGCAAACTCTTCGTCGCCGTCATCGTTAACCTGTATCTGGTTTGTCGTCGAGTCTTTGTCCACCGCACCACGCAGCGTTGCTAGAGGACGCGGACGAAAAATTCACGATCCGCATCTCTTGACAATTAGCAGTCTGTCTCACTTACCTTGGGTAAGGCGAATGACTTCTTCCAAGTTATGTTTTAATTCCAACAATTCAGCAGCCTGGGAGTCACTAGCGCTAGACGCTAAAGAAAGTTTGACCGCTTCAAGCTGCAATGAACGGCGACGCTTTAAAAAATTTCAGGAGAAACAAATAAATAAAATTAGACACATACTTGCAGCTCGTATTGCTTTAGTGATTCATGGAGGGCCTTGTTCTCCTCTGTGTCCATGTCTCAGGTGGCAACGAATGCTTCATATACTAGCAATATTCTATTCTGTTCAGGGAACACACGGAGAGCTAGAGTGATGGAGAAATGGAGGAACACACATATGGCTAGAGTGATGGAGGAATAGCGCTGGCTCTCGTGTGGGCGTTTTGCGATGAACTTCCGCGCCGCGCCGCTGCTGTGCCAGAAAAGAGAGGTTCAAGCAAGATTAGAAATTAAGCAACGTGGAATAGGTAGGCTTGCTTTAGGAGCTCACGGGAATATACCAAATCAGGGAGTACAAGGTGATATGGGATGGACATCATTTGAGGGCAGGGAAGCTAGCAGCAAGATAAAATTTGAGAAGCGATTGAGAGAAATGGGGAGTAGCGTTGGGCTAGGAAGGTTTTCAGCTACTTGTACATGAGGAATGTCGATGCAAAATGGAGGAAGCGAACCAGAAAATTGGCGGGTAAATACTTAGAAAAGAGCAGGGGGCCAAACCAAAAAGAACTATCGGTTAAAAAGAAGGTGAAGGAAACCGAGACCGACATGTGGAGATTGGCATGATTAAAAAGTCCGCACTAGACCGGTCTGAGAACTGTCTAACCTCCCTGTCTTTCCTCATTTATTCCTCCTCCTTCTCCGCACTAGAGGTTTACCGAACTTTTAAGCAGGAAATCGCCAAGGAAAGGATCTATCATAATGCTCGGGGTAGTTCTCTATTGTTTGAGGCCAGGACGGGAATATTGCGAGCCAAGACTTATCGGGCCAAATACGAAGGAGTAGACACGATATGCAGTGCGAGCGGAGAGGAGGAGGAAGCTGCCGAACACCTGAAAATGTTCTGTAAAGGGCTTCACCCTACGCAACTTTTCACGGGAGGGAAAAAAAATACCGCCATGATGGGCTGTGCGCGGGAGTACAAAGGCTAAGGGCGCAGCGTTGTCAGTGCATTTTCTCAAGGGGACGTGCCAATTTGCACAGCCCAAGGAGGGCTATGGCGGCGCCCAGGGAGGCGTTTATGAAAAGGTAAATAGTTCAGGATGATGGCGCAGAGTTTTTCAAAGCACTGGGGTTTAAGGAGCACGAGGTCAAAGGTAGAAATGAGTAGAAGGAGGTTATCTGATTGGTGGCTGAAATCAAGGCACGAGTGAAAATTAAATCTTTCACTACAAAGTACCAGTCCTCAACTTCACTATTTAAAGGGGGCGAGGGGAGATAAATGTAATTGTTGGTTCACCAAGTATTGTGACTAGGTGGCGTTAGCCGCCGCCCAATCTAAAAGGTACAGCCATATTAGTCTATCCATCTATCGTAGTATGTAGATGTTCTTTGTTTTTGCGCTCGGAAGCGTGCGGAAAGCGTACGTGGGGCCTCTGCTACACGCTGTAGTTTTAGGGGTGAAGCTCCTTATGCCGTTGGGCGTGCGTCCGTGATGTATGTAGCAGGACCTCCTCTATAGAAATAGAAGAGGTCGTCAGAAATAGAGGAGGTTGTGGTATGTGGCATAGAGTTTCCTAAAATAACTAGAGGAAACTCTGGCGCTGCGATCGTCAGGTTCAGTGATCGATTTCTCGCCCACCATCGAACCGCATTGTCTGGACTGCGGAGAGGCGTATAGCTCATGAGCTCACTTGCTCTGGCAATGTCCTGCGTTACGTGACGCCGAGTTTAACAACGAAGAGGACTGGAAGGAAGCCCTAAACAGCGGTGACCTCTCGGTTCAACTTCGGGTTGTCCAGAGGGCCTGCGAGAGGGTGGAGGGCCATGGTCTACCGGTCCCTACGTGGGAGCGGCCCACGACTGCTACATATTCCCCTAAAATGGGAGTCACAACGCAGTTACTCGGGACCACAATAAGGTTCTTTGTCTGCCTGACACGTCAGTAATTTGAACTTATGCGTAGAAACACACGATGAGGTGCGGAAGGAACACAATCACAGCGTCAGGTCACGAGCACCCCTTAACTGCATCAGCCAGAAGCTGTTCTCTTTTTTTTTTACGGAAAAAAGAACGCTCCATGACGATTTCTGGATTTAGTTCGACATTTTGATTCTCAAAGGATTTCCAAGGTGCATGAATGTAAAAAAATGTTCCTGCGATGTACCGGGTATGTTGAATATGACCGATCACAAGCCCTGGTTTTTACAACCATGGCCGCTCGACGGAAAAGCGCGCGATCCAGCGGCCATGCTACAACCATTCTACAAGCATTGATTGATATGTTCATGGGGTTCAACGTCTCATAACCACCATATGATTATGAAAGACGCCGTAGTGGAGGGCTCAAGAAATTCCGACCACTTGCATGGTGTACTTAAACGTGCACCCACATCTGGCACACGGGCCTACAGCATTTGCACCTCCATCGAAAATGCAGCCACCGCAGCCGGAATTCTATATCCCGCGACCTGCGGGTCGGCGGCCGAGTACCTTAGCCACTACCTGCGCGGCGAGGTCATTCTACAAGCAGTACAACGTACAAAGATTCGACGAACACCATGCGCCAGGGGCCTAGGCACAATTTTTTTTTTTTTGGGGGGGGGGGTACCTCCTTGATTTCGGGGGAATGGGAGACCAGCGCTGGATAGGTGGCGCGCCGATAAAGAGCACCTGATGGAGAGTCGCAACACAACTCAGCTGCACGCGCCCAGACGACCGGCAGCAGTGTAGCGCAGTGAGAACAGGCGCGTGCGCCACTGCCATGCTTCATTTTGGAACGAACAGCTCCAAAAGCTGTTGCGCCAGTAATACTGCACTGTGGTTTAAAATTTAACTTTGTACGAAGGCTACTCTCACATATAAAGCACTAAAGAACGGCGAGAAGCCCTGCAGAGCAGACTGCGTCTATGCATATAGAGTATACATGACTCGCTCACTGGATTCCGTGCCGACCGGTTGTGCCCTCGCGATCTCCGACGTCAGCGTAGCGATCTGGCCGACTGGGCTCGCCCTACGTCATCTCCTGACGCCGACCTCCGACGACAGTGTAGCTCTGACCGACTGGACTTGCTCTACGCCATCTCCTGACGCCGACAAGAGCTCTCGCAAGTGGTGCCCCGTCCTCGGACTCCTGTGACCATGTTTCCATCTTTCCTATCTCTCTTATCTCCTCGATAAGTCGTAGCTCTCACGCTTACCTCATCTCTCTTTCTCTCTCTCTACACCTTTATTCCTATCCTTTTAATCCCTCCTCCCCCCCCATCCCTTGTGAGCTACTGTTGAGGTGTCGCTCCCTGAAGCAGACAGTTACGGGGCTCACTTTACTTTTCCTTCTTACAACATAACCACTCCCCCCCCCCCCCCCCCGAGTATACAGTGCTCTGCCGTGATAGCAGCTCCCTCGTCCTCATTTTCTGGTTACGTGCTGGGTTTTAGGCTAATGCTAGTGCTGGCTGACATGCACCAATGATAAGTCTGTGCTGCGACAATACCATGCTGCCAAGTTCTGCAGTCACAAATTTTGTCGATGTGTGACACCGTAATGAAGTGACATGGTGACATCGTCATCTTATGCTGATTTTTTACATCACTCTTGCTGACACCGACGCCACCGACTATAAATTTTTGTGTTTGATGAGGCATTTAATGTTCTCGCCTTAAAAATAAAAATAAAACGACGTCTAGCTGCGGATATACAATTTGCTCAAAACAGTTGATCTATGCTTATGAGACCGCGACAGTCTTCCTCTTTGCTTGTGTTCACTGGCCTATAATATTAAGTAAGTGTAAATTATAAGATAAGCGTCCGTCCGTCCATCCATCCATCCACCGTCCATCCATCCACCGTCCATCCATCCATCCATCCATCCATTCGTCCGTCCATCCATCCATCCACCGTCCATCCATCCGCCCGTCCGTCCGTCCGTCCGTCCGTCCATCCGTCCATCCGTCCATCCATCCATCCATCCATCTATCTATCTATCTATCTATCTATCTATCTATCTATCTATCTATCTATCTATCTATCTATCTATCTATGTAGCCGCTTACGTTTGAAAACTCTCGTGATGATCCCCCCTAATTAGCTTGGCGCGAAGCAAAATTAGTATGGGAGGGTAAAGATGGCATGACGAATATTTGGCACGCTCATCAACACATGAATAGAATCACAATCCCGTTGCGCATGTAGTCAAACACTTCCCGCTAGACAGTGGCACATACCCGCGGGCGAGAATGTGCCGATGTGAAACTTGGAACGAAAAATGTCGAAAAGCCATTGCCATAGGCATCAACGTCCGTTGGCTGTTGAAGTGCGAGGGCGGAATACGAAAACTGAAAACTCGAAATAATTTCTTCTTGAGATAGTCGTAATTTTACATATGTCACAGCTAACTATAAATTTACTTTGCAGTGTATCTTATAACTGGATGATTGCCTCATTTTTTGGTCGAGTGCTGTAAGTGTTTGGGGATGGTGGTGGGGGAGGGGGCGTATCCACGCAAACTTCTATCAGCCCTTGTGCTTAGTTCGGCGCATTGCCGGCTCAATGAGGCATCGCTCACTTTTGCGTGGTGGTTTAATGTGTACCTTCCGTAGTTTATTTATTTGCTCATGTGCTGTTTACTGGCGTGATATTTCAGAGAACTAGCTCACAAAATGTGTAGATAGCCGCTTTTATGACTGCCGACTGCCTTCGCTGGCGCACGGCAGGCGTGCCCTCGTCTTTGGTGACGACGAATGTGACACGCTTAGCAACGAGACGCTGTACTCTACGGTTGCCGAAGGGATATTCTGAAGGCTGCATGGTGTCCCACTGTAGTGGTTTCCCACAATCAGGCAACGTGAGTTTTCGAACTGTTATGTATTGTACTCATGAACATTTGTGCTAGAATTCCATCTGCGAAGTTTTTGGTGTGTATTGCAAGTAGACCATTTGGCTAATAAAAAAGCATTGCTTCCTTAGTCTTTCTTGTTGGTCTTTCATTTTTCGCGCACGCAATAGGGGAGCTATAGGAACTATAAAGGCACAATAAAATCACCTATTTTTAACGGCACCAAAAGGTTAGCAATTAATTCTATTTGGCGCCATATAGGACAAATACATGACGTCGCTATCACTTTTGGTTGTGACTGCATACTTTGCTTTTTATTTTTTTTGTTAG